GAGGGACGAGCCAGGGTCTGTCTCCAGAGAAGAGCAGGGCTTACTGCCTGTAGAGGGGCTGGCTCCCAAGCTCTGGGCCCGTCAGCTGTGCACAAGCCATTGTCTTACTTATTTTTCTCTTGTTGCAGAGACAAAATACCCAACATCCAAAGTTAAAGGGGGAAAGGCTTATTTAGCTCACAGCTTGTAGAGTTTTCCATAGGTGGTTGGCTCCGAGACAGGCTTGCACATGGCAGGGAGGCAAGAGTTGGTGGCAGCAGAAGACAGCAAATACAACAGCAGCAAAGAAGAAAGGAAAAGAAGCCCCTTTCTGTCCTTTATATTATATCTGATCTACCAGGATTAGGGTGGTGCCAATCCAGCCAGTGGATCCAGGACCCTTAACCCCAGCCCTACACTGCAAATCAGTCACACACTCCAGATTCAGGAACCTCCAAAATAACACTATGACCTCATGAGGTTTTGGGGGCACATCTAGACACAAACCATAGTAGCTATTCCTAGGGACGGAGGACAGAGAACCAACGTGTGCTGGTGCTGCTACTTCCTGTGTCAAGAATAATGAAGTCTTTTGTCCCTGACTAAGGAGTCTCTGGTTTGGGCAGTGCCCAAGACACTCAACAGGTATGCATAAATTTATAAGCAAAGTAAAATCTCAGACCAGGCAATCTATTCCTTCCCTTTCACCAGCAAGCTCCAAGTCACCTACAACTCTCAGCTGGTGACCCTGCCCAGTAAGGGTTTCTCTATCCTACCTCCTCTACTCTATGAAAGCAACAAATCAGCTACTTTACATTGACTGGTGAGGAACCTGTGCTACTACCTTATGCCCCTCATAGGTGAGCCTTCCCAGTAGGTCAGGGGCCACACAGGCTGCCTTGCCTACAGACGAGCTGGCTAGGATGATGCCCAGCTCACAGGCACTCAGCACTTGTTGAAAGGAGGGAGAGGTAGCTGGCGTGTGGTCAGAACTCTGTGCTCCATTCCATCCTAGGAAAATTGCAGGCTTCTCCAACACTCAAATATAATGCTTCCCTGGAAATAAATGTGAAGGTTAAGTGTTTGAAATCCTAACAGGCTCATTCCATGCTATTAGGGAGCTTTTCTTCTTAGAAAGTGAAAACATTTTTACAAAGTCTCTAATTACCCTTTGCCCTTAGAGGTAATAGTGTCATATTCAGATGTAAGAGTGTCATATTTCAAACTTGATGTCTGTTCTTTAGTGCGTTCTTTTTCAAAACAACTAAAAATCGTTAAATTTATCCCACTTGAGCACTCGCTTGCCATGTTGTCGGGTGACACCAATTCTGGCTTCGATGGCTTTGGTGACAGAAACCCTGCCTACTCGTCCTTCTTGACAGCAATTTCCTATTTCTCCTACTCATTGTTATGAATCAATTACACCAAACATAGGAGCATAGTCAGACCTTGGCTAACAAAATCCAAGGAAGCCACCAAACGGTGCCACTGCTGGTACAGCAAGGCTACCACTGACTGTCACCAGCTGCAGCCCCTCAATCTTGGCTAGAACTGTTGGGGGGGGAATCTTTTATTTATCATTTGCTCAACCTGTGTTATTAGCAGCAGAAAATGGAGTAAGTTACCCTCAGCACACAACAAAACAGGCCAAGTATAGGAAAAGGGCCTTCCTGCCCGATGTACTTGAAGCATAACGTTCTGATGTTGTTTGCACAGCACTAGCTTTTGTTGTCCAACTTCCAATAGCAACCTGGGTGTGGAGAAATACAGTTCCTCTTGGCTCTGAACAAAGCAGCCAGGGCCACTGGCAGATTCAAGCTCAAGGATACTTCAAGGAGAGTAGCCACTGTGGAGCCCACATCTGTTAAAAGGGGAGATGCTCCCCAACTTCAGAAGATGCTGCCCTACTTCCCTGGGCACCCAACAGCCAGGGCTTTTTTTTTTTTTTTTTAGAAATGGAACAATTTGGATTTCATAAATGTGAAATACTCCAGTTATTACATATTTTTCCTATTTTGTGGTTAAGGGATTACTGAACACTATGCCAGTTAAAGCAAATACGCCAGCAACCCTGGCTTGTCATTTCTAAAATAAACTCAGATTCCCAACAGTTTTCCTGATATCTTCACAAGGATGGCCAAAGGTGTCTTAGCCACATTTCTTACAGCTGGGACAAAATTCTCCAGCAACTACAGTTTAATGGGGGAGGGGGCGGGGGGGCAATAATCTAAGTTATTTCCTTCCGGGTTCTGCCAGCTCCAAAGCGCAGCCTGCCTGGCATAGGAGCCTGGGGAGGGGCTGCACCCTCAAGCCATGCCCACCAGAGCCCCTCACGAGGGGCGAATCAGTTGTGAGCCCTACCACCCATTCCAAATGATCCACTTAGGGGCACAGGGCTGTTGGGAGATACCTAGCTACACACCTAACAGAGGCCCCATGGACACACACACACACACACACACACACCCCTAGCCATCTGCCCCTCCCCAGTGCTAACTGCGTGACAATCACACAGCTGGGCAGGAGGTCCCATGGCCTCTCAACAATGCTTCAGTAAATCCCACCACCCCATTCTCTCTGAGACAGGGTTGAATGCAAAGGACCTGTGTTGGAAGACTGGGCCTCTGTGCATGCGAGGCAAGGGGTGGAAGGGTTTCCAGAGCAGGGCTGGCTGCAGGGGTCCCGTCGTCGAAGGCACATTCCTTGGAAGGGATCCATGTGCTTCTGACTCAGACCCTCCACTGGTCGCTCAAGAGCAGCTTGTTTATTTAAAAATGAGCCTGACCCCTGACTCTCTCCCCTCCCCTTTTCCCAGTCCCTTTCTGCCTCTCCCTCCTCCTCTTGCAATCTCCCATCATGATGACCCCAAAGGGGAGGGCTGACCAGACAGGGCCCCGACCTCAGGCTCTCAGCCTCTGAAACTGTGAGCTAAATAAACCTCTTTTTTTTTTTTCAGATATTCCGTGATAGGAATAAAAAATGAACCAACACACTACAAAAGAGCAGGCATTGGAACACCATGACACACACCTTCCTCAGAGGCAGCAGGGCCCTAGACGCTGCAGAACTGCACATTGGCCTGGAATTGCTCAGCCTGGAGGTGACATGTGTGGCTCTCCTCCCATCTCCTTCCCCAAAGCAAGTCACCTGACACCACCTCGCTTTCAGGGCAAAGGAAGCGTCCTTTGCATTAGGGCTATCTCCCTCGGGGACCATACCTTCTTCCCGTGCTCCATTTTCAATTTTTCAAGTTAAAAAAAAAAATTGTGTTTGGTCGCCGTCTGCTGTTGTGCTGTAACTGCAGCAGGGCAGAATACAGCAGATCCACCTCGGCGGATCCAGCCAGTTTCAGATACAAAATCTGTGAGGAAAAAAAAAATGTGTCTGTACTGAACAGGAACGGACTCGTAGTGATCAGACGCGTAGTGATCCTCCTGTTTTCAGCCTCCCCAGCGCTGGGATTACAGATGCATGCCACCACGCCTGGACTCGTGGCCGGCTCAGTGCACCCAGGGGTGGGGCCGGCGCGGCATGTGGTGCCAGGTATCAAACTCTGGCCCCTGCACTTGCCTAAGCAGGCACTTAGACCACTGAGCTGTCTTGCCAGCCCTAAACTTCTGATTCTCGCCAGCTACAGACTTCTGATTTTCTTGTCATTATCCCGCAAACAATGCAGTAGATCAATAATAACCATAGTGTTTCTATTGTCAGTACTGTAGGTCACCCAGAAATGCTTTACAGTAAGTGGCAGGGTGTCGGCTACACACAAACACCACACACTTTACAGAAGGGACTTGAGGTTCTTGGAGTTTGGCATCAGTGGGGTGCAGGAGTCAAACTCAGTTACTGAGAGGCAATGGGAACTGCAATGAGGATGACCTGTCTGCAGAGTGGAAAAAGATCTACTACCCGTCTCCTAAAAGGACCACTGACCACTGACCACTGACCACGGAGAACGAAAGCAGAGAGACAAACCTGACTGAAAGATGTATTCATGTGCTTCGTACATCGGCAAAAAGAGATGCCCTGGGGCCCAGACAGGGGTTGGGGAGCCCCTGGAGTGGGGATCCCTCTAGGGGGTGCAATCAGATGCCAAGCAGGGAGTGTTTATGATTGAAGCCCCCAGCAGGGGCATTTGGGGACCTGCAAAAGTGGGCTCACCTGGGAGCCGGGCCACACAGAGGCAGTCGACAGCGGCTACAAACTGGGCCTGACGCACTGACTCACCTGAAGAAGGTAGAGCTTCAGATTCCCCTGAGATCAGTCGCCAATTTAGGGATGAAACCAGAATACACTGGGATGCACTAATGTCAAGGTGGTAGCGTCACCCTAGGGATGGGAGTGGGGTCTGAACAGGCCGCAGAGGGGCTCCTAAGGCAAGGAGGACTCCAACTCTATCAGTGCTGTTCACTCAGTCAGTTTTGTATAACGAAACAAATGACTGAAAGTTTTAAAATTTTCAGTTCTGAGTGATAAGTATGCAATCATAAGTTTTCTTGCCCATTTCTGATATATATGGTGAATATATATCACTGGCTACCCGGGTCAAATTAAACAATATAGGGCCATGACAGGTCACCCTGCCTCTCGGTCACGCCTGATGGCCACCTGGTTACGGGGCTGTTTCCTCACCCTTCCCAACACCCAGAAACTTACTTATGGGGATCTTTCCCGGCCTCAGGAAACCTGCTCTGGTGGGATCAGAGATAAAAATAAACCTGCAGAATGTCGGGCCAGAGACGCCAGCCACAAAGAGAACACGCTGTATGATTCCATTTATATAAAGCGCAAAGACAGACAAAACTGATCCGTGCTGACAGAAGTCGGGGCGGGAGGGAGAGGCCTGCAGCCACCTTTTGCCCTTCACCCAGACACGGGGGCCACAGACGCACCCCGGTGGAGGAGACACAGCCGGGAGTGGTGACCGGACACCTTCCTGCGTAGCTTCCTTTTAAGTTTTCAATCATAAATGCATAAATCTGCCCGAGACCCTCACTTCCTGCCAGACCTCTGGTGAGGGCTCAGGCTTTGGCTTCAGGTGGCAGAGGCCGGAAGTGTGTGTGGCCCCAAGTTTCTACGCACGGGGGGCTGTTCAGGAGGATCCCAAACGCTGCTTCTTGCAGCCACTTTGCTCCCTACAGAAGAGCATGGGTCCAGCAGTCACTGTCTCACAGGCACAGGGCCCTGAGGCCACAGCCTTCCCTAGTCAGCGACAACGCTGTAAGGACCAGGACAAGCCAGCAAAGCTGTTCTCAGACTTCCAATCAGGAAACCAAAAGCATTACTGCAAACAGAAAACATCTCTCCTGTGTTTTAGAATCCGAAGCACTGGTGTGAGCTTGAGGCTGTGGGAACCAGAGGAAAGCTAGGAAGGGTGCAGCGCAGCCAGGCCAGGCCAGCCAGCATGCGCCCCCGCCCCTCGCATGGGCCACCAAGGCCTCGGTCCCATTCCCAGGAGGGTGTGGTCTCCTCAGCAATGGCAGGCAGCCAGGGACTGTGAGCTAATTACCCTGCTGCGCCCCGGGCCCAGGAAAGGTCAGGTCTGCAACCAGGGAAGGGAGGAGAGAGGGGAGAGGTAAGGGTGGGAAGAAAACAAGAAAAAGAAGCAGGGAAAAAGCAAGAGGTAGGCAAGGGAAGAAGGAAGAGGAATAGGAGAAAAGGGGAGGGAGGCGAGGGTGTGGAAAGAGGGAGACAGAGCCAAAGAGGAAGGAAGAAACGCAGAAAGAGAGAACAGTGAATACAGAGAGAACAGGAAAGGGGCCTCCAGCTGGGTTCCCACATGCAGCCCCAGGGTGAGGTGGCCCCTGCCCAGTGGGAAAGGAGCAGCTCCACAGAACAAGGCCAGGGTCCCTGGGTTCGAGTCTCAGCTGCTCCTGCCAGACCACACTGTGTGGCCGTCCAGGTGCAGGTGCTGCCTCAAGAGTGACAGGTGCCAGTCCTCATCTGCAGCCTCCTGTGGCTCAGGAAAGGTGGTGCCAACTCCCTGCTGTCCCCACAGCAGGCAGAAAGAGCTGCTCCCTGACCTGGCTCCTCCCACCAGCATCCCACCATAAGAATGGATGCCAGCCCCGACTTCCCAGGATGGGCCCAGTTAATACCACTGTCCAGTGCTGTCTGTCCCAAACAGCAGTGTCTCGGTGACATCACTTGCTGTCCTCATGTGACAAGATAGACAAGGGTGGTAGTGGTGGTGGTGGCTGTGGTGGCCCATGTCAGTCACAGCTGGGCTCTGGCTTCAACAGAGCTGGCCATCAGGATCTGGCTGGGCTCACACTCAGGACATGGCATTAGGCCCTGGACAGAGCTAGCTGCCACTAGAGACCCAAGCCATGTGCCTCCTGAGAGGTCAGGGTCCCTAGAAAGCAGCTGAGTCTAATGTGAAGGAGTCCCTGGGCCCCGATCCCTTGCTATGAATGTCGGGGCCCCTGATGGCAGCCTGGGTCTGCCTCCTAAGCAGCTCATTTCAGGAGACACGGTCTCCGAGGACCACCCAGCACCATATTCATTTTGAAGACCACGGGGCTAGTCTAGCAAGCCTTGTGTGAGACAGAACACAGACTGGCTCTCACAGCCACCCTCACACCCCCACTTCTGTGGCCCCTCAGCAGGCCCAGCCCCTTGCACCAGGCGATGGGGTGCTCTTTTCCAGCCAAGGGGATCTGGTTCCTGCTCCTCCTCAAAGCCTCAGTGGTCCAGCAAGAGCCCAATGCCCACCCGGAAGGCAGAGGTCCACAGTCTACACTGGCTGCTCACCAAGTAAAGAACAACAAAGTGAGCCCCAGCTGTCTACCAGGTGTCGCCCCAGGTGGGCCTCAGTTTGGTCCTCCCCACAGACTGCTGGTGGGCACGGCTCCCACCCGAATCTGCAGGGGCTGAGCCCCAGGCACAGGGCGGCTCAAGCTTGCCTAAGGCCCTGGTGGCTTGCTAAGTCTGCTTCAGCACGCTGTGGTTCTAGCCCCTGGGCCTTGAGTTGCACTACCCAGAGGGCCGAGGCTGGGAGGCAGGGCAGGGGCCTCTGGAGTAGCAGGGGCCTGGCCACCCAATGCCCAGCCTGGCAGGAGCCCCTGGCATCAGTGCCCATGGATGCTCCACTGCAGGGACTGGGTTGTGGACCCCCAGCCCTGGGACCCCTCCCCAGCTTGGTGGCTCAGTCTCTCTGCCTCAGCCACACTATCCAGGTAAACACCCCACACACACACCAGAAAGTAAGACCAGCAGTCCCCTGTCCTTAAGCAAATTGATTTTCTTTTCTTTTCTTTTCTTTTCTTTTTTGTTTGTTTGTTTGTTTTTGTTTGTTTGTTTCTGGAATCAAACTCAAGACCTTACACTTGCCAGGCTGGAAGGCTCTGCTACCTTTTGGGAGGGGAAAAGGAAAACAAACAAACACACACACACACACACACACACACACACACCCCACATATATACACATGCATGCATGCACAAACACCAAATTACTGTCCCCATAAGCCAGGTGGCCCCCACTGCGTTTGATGAGGAGGTACTTGGGCCCAGGAGTCTGTCAGGCCCAACCGCCCGCGTCCTGCTGGGATGTGCCTCTGGCTCCCAGCGACGGTGGGGCCTGACATTTAACTCAGAGGAGGTGACCCCCTCCGATGTCTCTGAACTGGGCCTCAATAAATAGCAGTTGCTTCTGAATCCATTCCTCCGAAAGGTCACCAGCCAGACACCCACAGAAAAGCCAGCCATCACTGTCGCCCGCCCGATGGCCCCCTGCCATCTGTCTCTCTCGGCCCACATCTTCTCCCCTGTTTTTCTGCCCAGAGCACCCGCAGGCTGTCACCTCCCCAGCTCACCCAAGGGGACATCCTCGTGCTCCTGTCCTCGCCTGGGGAGCACATAGGCCCCTGAGTCACACATCCAGGCTGGTCCAAGCGAAGGAGACCAGCATCTCTCCTGCACCTGCACCCGAGCCCCCAGCCCCGCGTGACCTCTGCTCTGGGGAAGGAGCCCCTGGAGAAGCAGAGCAAGGCTGGTCACCTTCCTATCACAGTCGCCCCCACCCTGCCTTGGAGTTTCCAGCAGCAACTGCAAGGTGGCTGTCAGAGCTGCATCCTCTGCCAAGGCAGCCTCTTGGTGCAACGTGCATGGGCTGCACTGGAGCAGGGTGTCAGGGGACCCTGGGGCACTCCTAACCCCCTGGATATGGGATGGGACAGAGGATGGGGACAAGACTGGCCAGACTTGGGGCTCCAAGTACGAACACAGAAAGAACTCCACATTCCCCACCAGGCAGGTGCCATCACGGGCCTGGGCAGGGCAACAAGCCTGGGTCTGGTCACCTGTCCACTGCATTCATTCAGCAAGCACCCACCTGAGCAGGGTGACAGCCTCCCACTGACGGGAAAGTCACAAGCTGCCCCCACACCCCGAAGCTCAGTTCACTGGGCGAGATGAAAAGGGCCTCACTCTGGGGACGGCCTCAGGAAGGACATGGAAGGCTACTGCTGTTAAACTTAGAATCTGAGGAGATAGGGACTGGCAGGGTAAGAGGTGGACAGTGCGGTCACAGTAGGAGGAGCAGGAATTGGGGCAGGGGCAGGGCACAAGGAAACATGTGGTACCCGGGCACAGCAGGGGCAGGAGCTGGGCCCAGATTCCCCAGGGGCTTGCCGGCCCAGCCCGCTGGCTCCCGCACCAATGAGAGCCTTTCGAAGGTGAAGTCCTGAGCCCCAGCTTTGGAGACCAGTGGCAGGCACACAGCCCAGGCCCGACAGTGGAGGAGGACAGATTGCTTTGGGCAGGTGGCTGAGGCTTAACATCCCGGAGCCTCAGTTTCCCCATCAGCGACCTCAGGTGAAGGAGTGCAGTGGCCAGGGACAACAGAACTCACTTTCTCACAGACACCATACCATCTGTGGGCCTCGCGGGTTCGGGTTCGGCTGAAGGCAATCTTCACGAGTGGAAACATCTGCTCCTCGGACGCCGTGGGACTTCGGGCTACTTGCTTCACCCCTCCGGGTCTCAATTTTCCTGGGAAATGGGAACAATTTTAAAAATAGTAAAACCTCCCTGGAGGGGTCACAGTGGAGATTGAAAGGGTTCTTGCTGGCAGAGTTCCTGAGATCTGACAGTCACAGCCCTCAAGTCTAGCAGGGAATTACTGTGTTCCCAGGAATAAGACTGGACCACAGGAGGCCTGGGCCCCACCCTTGCGGGGAAGGGGGGGAACCCACTTGGCCACAGGCTGGTCCCAGCCTTAGTCACTTGTCTGTGTTCTTTGTCATCCCAGAGACCAGCTCGGGCCAGCCTCCTGCCACCAGCTCACTCTAGCTACATTTTCTCAGTGAATTATTGTGTAAATGTGCTTTTTTTCCCCCCTGAAAGTCTTACATTTTATGATTTTTCTCTTCAAATTATGAAACCTAATGCACTCTTGCCTGCTGTAGAAAATGAGTAAAGGATAAAAATGCACAAAGAGGAAAATACACCTCCACTCCTCCCCAGAGCGGCTCCCTTGGGGTGCGAACCTCTAGGATGGGGATGGCTGTGCCCCTGATACCTGTGGAGCTGCTCTGGGGACACGCACTTCTGGATCGGGGTTGGGGTTGGGTTGGGATTCGGGCCCGGTTCGGATTGGGTTTAGGGTTAGGGATGGGGCTAGGAGTGTCTGAGGAGCTGGATAAGGCGAGGGTTAAGGCTGGGGGTGGGGCAGGGGTGAGGCTAGAGTTGGGTTATGGGTTCTGGTGTGGGTTCGGGTTTGGGCCAGGACAGTGTGAGCAGCCGGTTGGCACCGCTCGGGGCCTGCAGCCACCTGGACAGGACCCAGCCCGATGTCCTCCGTCCGCGGGACACTGCGCGACCCGACGCGAGCAGGAGCCGCATCCACGCGGGCGTAGCTGTGATCCGCGGGAAAGGGCGTCCGGGAACTGCGCGGAGTTCACGTTCAGGGTCGTTTGCTTTTTCTTACTTAAATCCCAGAAATACTCGCTGCTCCCAGGCCCAAGATCTCTGCCGCTCTCTTGGGAGCCAGGTCTCCGCAGCCCCGCTGAGCTCTTCCCGCGCGCAGTCCCATGGCGCCCCCTTCCGGGAACTCGCGGTTCTGCAGGCACCTGAGGACAGCGACGCGAGGGGTTGCGGGGCTGGGTGGGTCAGCGCCAGACGGGGACTGCCCAGCAGTGGGGTGAAATGAGATGGGGAGACTTAAGGACGTGAGAAAAAATATTCCGATAAACACAAATCCGAAACCAGTGCCAACACAGCTGATGGACAAAATATGGAAATTTAGAAGGCGAAGGATCAGTACGTTGCCGCTTTGTCCTTTGCCGCGGAGCACTGAGATACATCTGTTTGTATTTAAAGGTGTAATATTTATTGTTGAATTTTTTACACTACTTTTGATTTTTTTTAATTGCATCAATGTTTCATTTATCTTCATTGCTGGTACAGTTTGAGCTTTGGGTGGATTTTGTTTGTTTGTTTTGTTTTGCTTTTTATTTCACTATTTGGGGTTGTAGTTTTGTTTTTGTGTGTTTTGTTTTGTTTGTTTTCACGGGCATCTCTGGCCTCACATGACTTAGTCCTGGTCATGGGGCCCCCGTCTGCTTCCTATGCCCCCTCCGGGCATGTAGCAGCTCCCAGGCTCTGGACCACCTAACCTGGCTAGATCTCACCTCTGTTTTTTGGCCATCGTAGGATGACAGAATGGAACGGGCAAGGAAAGAGATTCCCCAGGACCCTCCAGAAGAGCACAGCTCTGCTGTGCCCTGGCCCTGGCTGCCCACCAAACAGCCTTGCTCCCCACGCAGACCTGAGTATGTGACAGCACCAGCGCCTGTGGTGGTGACCACCACTCTTTAAGGCATCCAAGGCCCTGGGATAAGCCAAGCCAGTTGTCAAGGCAGGGACAGTCCTCGTCCTGCTTGAGACCCTGCATGAGTCCTCTATGGCTGCTGTGACAAAGAATGACAGAGTGGGTGGCTGAAAGTGGCACAGCTTGAGAGATGCAAATCTGAAACCAGCACCACGTGGGCCAAGATCCCTCTGGCCTCTTCCGGTTCCGGTTCTGAGGCCTCCAGGATCTGCTGAGGGTCACCCCACCTCTTCAGTGTCTCAAATCTCTCTGCCTCCTCCCTTCTAAAGATACTTGCAGCAGCACTGGGACTCCCAGAGACACACACCACATTCACAGTCTGTGATTTAATCGTGTATGATCCTTTCCCAAGTAGGGAGACTGGGATCTGAGGCCTCCTGCCACCCTGTGACAGGCCAGCTGCTCTTGGAGACAGGTATGGGACAGCTGAGAGTCCAGCTGCAGATACCCAGCCTCACTTTCATTCTCCCTGGCCTGGGGAGGCTCAGTTTCCTCCTGTAGGGTAGGAATGTGGCTCATGTGACTCCAGGGAACACACCAACAGGCCCTGATGGACACTCCTCTGACAGGGTCATTCTGCCCTGTGGCATCACCAGTTGTGGGCACTGGTCAGGAGTTAGCGCCACATCCCTGCACTCCTGGTGCTCTGGCTCTGACCTTTGGCATCTCTGAGTCCCAGTTGCCCAGCTGCAGAACGGGACAGAGCCTGTGCTCGGAAACGTTGGTTGGAAGGATTAAATGCAGTGGTGCGGGGAGAAAGCCTGGCTGCTTCCTAAGTGCTTGGGCTCCGCGGCTCAGAGCAGGAGGTGACCTCTGGGAGTGACAGGATCCCCATGGCCCAGTCCTCCTCTCTTCCTTGGCCCTCAACACCTCCAGCTCCTACTGCCCCGACAGGAGACGTGTGACACTGTCACGTAGCCGGCTGTCACTGCACGTGCCTTCTATGACAGGAGCCAGCCCCACAGGGCTGCCCACACACACTTGGAAGCTGATGATCCCTGCAGATGGAATCGCAGCTTCCACATGCATAACTGGCCACACAGATTTCTTATTTGTGTTTATTTATCATTGCCTGCTAATTGTATGGGCCAGCTCTTGTCACTTAGGGAAGCACATAAATTATCTCTAAACCACTTGTGCAGAGCTGATTGCCAAAGAAAAGAGTCAACAGGCCCATCTGGCTGGGACCAGAGTGGCCAGTGCTGTCACAGAACTGAGTGAAACGCCCCAGCATCCCAGAGGCCAGGTAGGCAGATTAGCAGGTGGCAGCTGAGACAGGCTGCAGAGGTCACCAAAGCTCAGGGTGCTCTGGGGCAGGGCAGCTGCTGGGCACTACAAGAGCCCTGATGGTATCTGTGATCTGCAGGGAGTGAGCAAAGCCGAGCCTGGTGGTACACACGTGGGCTTCTAGCTACTCGGGAGGCTGAGGCAGGAGGATCCCTTGAGCCCAGAAGTTGAAGATCAGCCTGGGCAATATAATGAAACCCATCTCTAGAAAAAAGGAAGAAGGTAGTCTCCACTTAACAATGAGCCATTAAACTCGCTGGGGCTCATCTGTGCCTTGCTCCCGTCCAGGTGTGGCAGAGTGAGTTTATCTGTTTGCTGCTAAAGGGAGTCATTTTTTTTTCTTCTGGAAATGGCTCTGACCATCTGCCCGGGGCCTGAGTGTGTCACTGGGTGGGCACAGCAGGAGGGGTCACTTAGCATAACCCCCCATGACTCCTGGGCCTGTCAAGAAAGAGCAACTGTAGGGGGCTGGGCCAGGTAGAAGACCCTGGGTCTGCCACTCTTCCTGCCCACATGGCAGGGGCACAGTGCCACAGTGTAACCCCTGCACACCCAGTGATGAATGCAGAGGAAGGCGGTGAGGGGCCACAGAAAGTGACCATGCTGGTCCTCGGCCCAGAGGCGCCATGGTGCTGGGACTACAGAACAAGATGCAGACAGATGGGAGAACAGCAGACAAACACAGCGAGGACCCATGGGTGCTGCAGAGGACCCACGCCATTCACTGCAGAGCAGAGGGAGCATACCACGCAGGACAGTAGCTGGCGCCTGGTGCCTTGGCCTCCAGGAGAGGAATTTGGTACCCGGAGGCCCCTCTGGGCTTAGAGTGGCACAGTCAGCACCGCGGTACTGTTCGACCCACTTGACAGGAGGCCCAGAGCACCAGAAGACGCCATGGACCCGGACACAGAGAAAGCTGCTATGCAGGGAGGCCTACATGGGACCTCACTCCTGTGCAGACTCTAAGCGGATCTAGAAGCGCATGGAGCAGATGGTTGTATGGCCCTGTCCTGGCATGACAGTAGGTAGGACTTGGGACTGGCTTCCCACTGGCAGGAGTCGGCAGAGCTGAGGGACACCATTCTGATTGTGCTTGATACACAGTGAAGGAACTTTGCAGATGTAATTAAGGTCCCTAATCAGTTGACTTGGAGTTTAACAAAAGGCAGATTATCCATCCGGAGCCAATGGAATCTAGGAGCCTTTGAAGAGGTTTAGAAGTGAGTCCTGCTCTTCTAAGAGAAGCAAGCTGACTGAACTCTGCAGCCACAAGGTGACTGTTGTCATTGACTCAAGCAGCTTGGAAGCAAACTGTCCCCTAGTAGAGCCTGCAGAGAAGACCACAGCCTTTGGGCCCTGCAGTTCCACCTCAGGGACCTGAGGAGTCAGACAAACCATGCCCAGACTCTGACCTCAGAGCTCTGAACTAAAAAATGGGTGTTGTTTTAAGCCACTAATTTTGTGCTCATTTGTTCCGCAGCAATGGAAGCCGATCTAATGAGCCTATTAAAATCTCTTTAAAATGCAATAAAGCAAGAGATTGCACTGTGAAGATCACTGACTTATACCTACAGGACAAATGGGAGAACTGTCCAAATATTGGGCAAATATTAGACCATAAAATACACAGTGACAGCCTCATGGGGGAATCTGGGGAGTGCTGTATTCCTACACCCCTGGTGGGGCCAGAGGTGGCAGGCCATGGAAAATATTACACAGACCCTCAAGGGGGCGGTGATGATGGGTGCCGGGCAAGGCCCAGTGAAGAGATGACATGAACCTGATTGATGAAAGGTGCAAGAGGGAACCGCTGTACCTTCAGCTGGATCGCCAGGGTCAGGTCACGTGCAATTTTAAATATATGCAAGTGGCCAGGTAAGTAAACATGTCAAGTAGAACATCTGATCCTTTCTATTTACACTGCTCTTCATTTCCAGATCTTATGAGGAAGATGGAGAAAATCGCTTCCCATCCAACAGCGGTCTTCCTAGCTCAGGCTATATTTGTTGTCTGTGAATTCATGGATGGTCATTGCCAGCCAGGAGGCAGAGTCAGGACACAGGACATAAAAGTCACAAAAGAGATCAGCAGAGGCAGGACACCGAGAAGCCATATTCCATCCTAAGGCCCAACGTTTAAGACTTCACCAGACAAACAGAGAGAGGTTTCCAGGATCCCAGAAAACAACAGATGTCAGGGATCAGGGTGAGCCTGGGGCACTGTGCAGGCTGAAGTGCTGGCCCAGACCCCGCCACAGAAACCGGAGGTGACCTCCAGCCATAAGGCCCCTCAGACTCCCCAAAATTTACTCCTTTAAGTGTGAAAGCTCACACTGTTCCCCCTATACCTAACCCAAGTCCCTCACTTCCCAGAAATAATAGCCTGGCCTTCAGCACAGCTTTGGTTGTGTTAATGGAAAAAAAATATCTTTCAAGTAAAGCTTTTAATGACCAGTCATACGGATCTCATTCCTGAGGTTACAGGGGATGGATCTTGTCCATTTCCTGTTCCCAGGGATACTTGGGGTAATGTGTCCCCAAAGCCGAATGTCCAAACTCTAATGGTGGAGAAGAGCCATTTGGAGGCCACATTTTGGGTTAATACTATAAACTCATTTAATGCATAGATCACTAAAAGCAAAAATGTAGCTAGGAAAGTACCGTCAAATTCCACCTTTTTTTTGTTTTGTTTTGTTTTATTATGTTTTGCTTTAAGTTCCTTATAGCACAAGAACTGTGA